GAGACTAATATGCAAATATGTTGCAGTGATATTAGATTATGGTTCCAATTTTATTACAGTTACAGTTATTATTAATGTACATTTATAATAGATGTATTAATGTAGTTAATAATGTAGTTTATTAATACAATTAACTCACTATGTTGTCCCGAATTCTCTCCACAGAGTTTGGGGATAAAGTTGTTTATGTTTTGTCCAGACACAGCTAGGTGGTCCCTCAAGCAGTTCCCTTCATTAGGTGGTGTGAGCTGATGGGTGGGAGAACGATTTCGTAGTGCCGAAAATCAAGGCAAAATGATTACTTAAGGGTGAGTTTAGAGGAAGAATGGTTTTGTGATGGTGATAGAAGTTAAATGGGGGAAGAGGGGGAGGGGGGAAGATGAGGAATATTAATATCTAAGGGTGAGGAAGAGAGAGGAATAATTATTATAGGGTAATATATGAATATCAATGAAGCGTTTCAGAGGGCGGCGTGAAAGTTGAAAGTAATGACTATAGAGTATTGAAAATTAAGGAAAGTTATTATGTAAAGTAGTAAACATATTATATTTTATGTATAAAAGTAATAACCTATTTCTACTTAGCATTATATAATTGTCATTCCAATACAGAGAATGTTAGGGATATGACATTAATTTATATACAGTATGAACAAGATACGAATTAAGCATCACCAACAAGAAGCGGTTTTAAGACATACATAATCATCATCATCATTTACTCACCGAAAACCTAGAAAAATTCAGCCTTATAGAGCAGATGTTGTTGGACAGTTTCCGCACATTAAGGACACAGGAGGCACCGGTCGTCACAACCTCGCTACCAGGACCGGGAGATGACCAGTAGGTGCGGTTCCTGGTCGCCTCCCACCCGCAGTCGTTCCTCATGGCTGCTAACGGAATACGGATAAAAACGAATTGGCTTGTGTGTTACGTGGCTCAGTGAGTTGTATTGTGTGTGTGTGTGTGTGTGTGTGTGTGTGTGTGTGTGTGTGTGTGTGTGTGTGTGTGTGTGTGTGTGTTTAGCTGAATTGATGATCATATGGTAATGAGATTGTTTTATTTTTATTCAGTTATATTCTCCAATTTGTAGAGAGTTACGGTTGCCAGTAACCAGACAGTTACTAATCAAAACAAAGTCATGAACATTCTAAAGTACCCATATTAGTCAAAACAGTATTGCATTAGTATTGCAATGCATCTGCAATAGCTAGACAGCGTATCGAATATTAAAAGTCATTCTGTTTTTACTAATCATGATCAGGAGATATTGTCTATATGAGCGGGGGAAATCGGAAACTAGTTCATGACGTGTGCATGTTAATTTTCACCAACGTTAATATGGCGTGAAGTTAGTAGTCCAGATAGAGATAGAAAGGATGGGGGGGGGAGATGGGTAGTTATGTCTGTGATTTCCAACCGGGGTTCTGCCGACTATCACCAGGGGTTACGAGAGGAAAAAATCTAAACTAATTATGTTATTACAAAATGACTGTGATCTTCATTTCTAATTATTACACTTGACAACACGTTACGCTTTCCTGACGCTAACATGCTCGTAAGTGTCAGTCAGTAAGTACTGTGTATTATATGCATTGTAGTATATATGTTATATATATAGGGGTTCCTTGGAATATGAAAAAATATATATTTATCTCAGGGGTTCCTCCAACGTGTAAAGGCTGGGAGTCACTGAGTCACATGAATTAATGGTTGTTAGAAAGAAAGAATGAAAAAAAAAATATATATATATATGTATATATCTATCTATCTATATATGTATATATATATATATATATATATATATATATATATATATATATATAAGTAGGCTTTGCACTCTGTAACAGAATTTAAATTTTAATAATAATGATTTATGTGTATATATATATATATATATATATATATATATATATATATATATATATATATATATATATATGTTGAGAGTGTTACACACACACACACACACACACACACACACACACACACACACACACACACACACACACACACATATATATATTATATTTTTTCAGAATCTTGTAATATTACATTGTACATTAGTGATTATAATTATCGTGTTTTTAATAGGGTTGTTATGATAAGTTCATGATGGTGATCATTTGACTGAATAACAATGATAAGCTTTTGATAAAAAATTGGTTGACGGAAATTATTTGATGATTAGCAGGTTTGAGATTATGAGTATTTGATAATTAACAGATTGATGGTAATAATTACTTGTTTACTGACAGGTTGGTCATTAACAAGTTATTGATGTTAGTTATTCGATATCTGACAGGGTTATAAAAATAGTTTGATATGATAATGCTTTTTTGATAATGAACAGATTGGTTAATTAGTGTTGATTGATATTTTAAATACTCGTCAGAACATCTTCACTTTGATAAAATTTACACAGATGCAATCGATATTCATTGTTTCTCTCTCTCTTCTCTCTCTCTCTCTCTCTCTCTCTCTCTCTCTCTCTCTCTCTCTCTCTCTCTCTCTCTCTCTCTCTCTCTCTCTCTCTCTCTCTCCCCCCCCCTTCCCCCCCCTCTCTCATATTTTTAATTTAAATGTGTTTTTTTCACAATCTTTTCCCCTCTCTCCCCCCCTTCCCTCCCCTCGAAGCCCTGTCTGCAATACATCATCATTGTGCAACCGCCATTTCGCATGCAAGTGTTGTGATTTCTGTGATGTTACGTAAGAACAGTAAATTCCCTTTCATGAATGGAGATGGATGTCCATATTTCGTATACATCGTGGGCGGGGTTATGATGAGTACATGTGTGTGTGTGTGTGTGTGTGTGTGTGTGTGTGTGTATGTGAGTGTGTGTGAGTGTATGTGTTTGTGTTTTAAATGAGTTATTGTGAGAGACTAGATTCCGTTTTCTTTTTCCCCTTCCGTTGTTGGAAGGGGGATGCCCGTAGAGTTTTTTTTGTATATTGAAAAAAAAAATCCTTGTATTTATGGTTTATTAATGTTTGTCGAAAATTTAGGAGGATAACGAGCTTATGGCGATATGATGTGGATATCGATGTTGACGTGTAAAATTGCTGTTATGATAATCGTGTTATGGGTAGGCAATTTTTTTTTGTGTTTTGAAATTTGTGTGTTTTACGGTAGAAAATGTTGAAGATGGCAATGCTATGGGATATAGGTAATGTTTTTGTAAAGTCTGCCTCCCTACCTGCCATCCTGCTTTGCGTGAATACCTGCCTCTCTTCCTGCTTGTCTGCCTACTTACTTACGTACCTGCTTGCTTGTCTGTCTGCCTACCTGCCTCTCCCTATCCCTTTCTCTCTCTCTCTCTCTCTCTCTCTCTCTCTCTCTCTCTCTCTCTCTCTCTCTCTCTCTCTCTCTCTCTCTCTCTCTCTCTCTCTCGTGTTTCGTAAGCCGAGGCCGAATATCCCACTTGGAAAACTCCCTGAGATCACTTTCCCTTTTGTGAAGTCAGCCGTTACAACGAAAACGCCTGACTGTAGGACATACATACACATCGCAAGGTCGTTTTGAGATATTAACAGTTGAAATGAGGAACGTTTATTGGCATATCAGAAGGTCGTTTTGAGATACAGTTGAAATGAGGAACGTTTATTGACACACCAGAAGGTCGTGTGAAGATACTAATGGCTGAAATGAGGAACGTTTTATTGACACATCGTAAGGTCGTTTTGAGATACAGTTGAAATGAGGAACGTTTATTGACACACCAGAAGGTCGTGTGAAGATACTAATGGCTGAAATGAGGAACGTTTTATTGACACATCAGAAGGTCGTCTTAGGGTACTAATTAGCTTATATGAGGAACGTTTTATTGATGGATCGACAGGTCGTTTTGAGATATTAACAGTTTAAATGAGCACCGTTTACTGGCACATCGATAGGTCGTTTTTAGATATTAAGAGTTGAAATGTACGTTTATTACCACTACGTCTTAGTCGAGACGAAGTAAATAGAGCATTCGTGTTGAGTGCGTGTATGTGTTTTGGTGTGTGTGTGTGTGTTTGAAGTGTAAGTGTTCGTGTATGTGTATGGGAATATGTGTGTATTGGTGTATGTACGCATTATCCGTTGCATTGTTATGTACGTTTATTGGCGTGTACGTGCATTGGTATACACGTGTATGTGTGTGTGCGCGGGTTGGTTAATCTCACTCGACACTCGATACGCTCGACCTAGCTATAACACAGCCAGCCAAAACGATTCTGTCTGTCGTATAATAATTTTTTTTATGCTTTCTGCCCCTCGACGATGGTGAAATGTCAGAAATCCGACATTTTCTAAACGGGGAGCCGTAATGAGGTGTGCCACGTGCATAGCTTCTGCGCGGGTAGGTGGTTTCTATAGGGTGTGGTTGATGATGTAGGCCTATGTGGTTGATGATCGTGTAGGTCTATGTGGTTGATGATATAGGCCTATGTGGTTGATGATGTAGACCCATGTGGATGATGTAGGCCTATGTGGTTGATGTAGATCTATGTGGATGATGTAGGCCTATGTGGTTGATGTAGGCCTATGTGGTTGATGATGTGGATGATGTGATTAATGATGATGAAGGATATCTATGGTTGATAATGAATTAGACTTACGTGGTTGATGTTGAAGGTATGCCTATTTGGTTGATGTTGATTCCGAATGTTTACGGTAAGCGGGAATATGGTTGAATCTGAATGTAGGCCTATTTGGTTGATAATGGATGATTAACATCAAGTATGTATTAACCAAAAATACAATAGATGTTGGAAGCTATCACTGATAAAGTCGAAATAAAGATCTGTCTGTCTATCTATATCTATCTATCCATCTATATATGTTGTGGATTTGGATGCTGTAAACCATACATGACATAAACGCAGTTATCAAAACTGATAATCATTAGAAAATATGGATTGTGGATTTTTAGGTGATAATTAGATACGGTGAAAGTGGTCATTATTATCAGGCGTAGATTGGTAATTACACAAGAATATGTGTCGATGTTAATGTAGTGA